GCGGCACAACGCGACGACGTTGCGGCACAACGCGACGACGTTGCGGCACAACGCGACGACGTTGCGGCACAACGCGACGACGTTGCGGCACAACTGACGACGTTGCGGCACAACGCGACGACATTGCGGCACAACGCGACGACGTTGCGGCACAACGCGACGACGTTGCGGCCCCATGCGACGACGTTGCGGCACAACTGACGACGTTGCAGCACAACTGACGACGTTGCAGCAAAACGTGACGACGTTGCAGCGGAGAGGAAAATTAAAAATGTTGGCGGTGTGGAGGTTTGATTTTCCCTTGGTGAGGATGTCAGCTTCAGAAGATTTTTGGACTACTTTGAGCCTCGCTACATCATCCGCAGTCAGAGATATTTTTTCGACGTAACGTTACCCGAGTTACAAGCCGTCATTTCTGACGTCATTGAGAAGCTAATAGCCGATAGCACTTGGGTGAGTTTTACCACAGACATTTGGACGTCGTGTTAGCCCCGTTAGCATGATTAGTCTTACGGAACAATGGATAGACAAAAACTTTTAACTTAAAAAGTCTGTCCTTCATGCACAGGAGTGCAGAGGATCCAACACTGCAGCTAGGAACCTGGAACAAGCCTCCACAAGTGAGACTGCATCACAGGTGACTAATGCTAATAAATAATATTTAACACTTTTCATTTAATAAAAGCTAAAGTGCTATGAATGTAGCGGTTACTGAAAATATGTCACCAGCTCTTACAGCTGTTACACAATTTTTGTAGCAAATAAGCCTAAATAAGAGGGTTATGTTCTGACAAAGGTAAGTATATAAAATATTGGTATTGGCCGAATAAGTTTTAACATATCGGATATCGGCCAAAAATCCAATATCGTGCGTCCCTAGTAAATATATCTGCAGTTTAGTGCATACAAATCAAACCAACAGCTGCAGATCTCACAAACATCACTGCAACTACGACATAGATCAGGAGAAGCTCTGCAATAGACATCAGAATCAGAATAAGCTTTATTATCATTGTACCGAGACACAACGAGAATATGTTCGTACATTCGTCTGAAAGATGGGCGGAGTGCACGTAGCTGCTGCTACTGGAGCGCAGCCTCTTATCCTTTTCAGAATACTATATATATATATTTTTTTTAAGATAGAAAAGGGGAAAAAGCGATGAGTATAGTGGCATTACAAAAAAAGATCTCTTCACACCTCGTCCTATCAGGACGCGATTTAAGACGTCAAAATCTCTGCCAGCAGCACATTTATGAACACGTTACATATGCATCTGATGGCAAGGCGGTCCATGAAACACTTCCAGATAGACCATAGTCCTGATAAGATGATGGTCAGCTGGCACAGTTCTGATAAGCCTCCACAGAAGTGGGGTTGCGATAAACAAAACTTTTCCTTAGTTTACACATAGCCCAGGAGAAATTGATAAGTCGGCCTGTTTTCAAGGCCGACTGGGGGAGTCAGATTCAGACAAATCACAATTATTGATTTTCTTCAGGCAGACTGTTTTTTCTTGTCAGCCTTGAGTCCTGCTGGTACTTTCAAGATCCAAAATGGCCAGATTAGGGTGCATTCTCCTGGTCTGTGCTTACGAGCCCCTCCGAGGTTGTTTCCAACATGCTGGTGAGTCTCAAAGCCGCAGGTGGCCTGCAATTCTCACAAATCGCTTGCTTCTTATGGTTTAGCTCATAAATTAGCTGATTTTGAGTCCTCAAAGCACGAACCAAACCTTCATAAGCAGGCAGCCTGACGACGGCCAAATTAGCTGCAGCTGTCTTCTTGTTTGTTGATAGACCAGGAACCAGTCGATTCCAAAAAGCAGGAAGCCCGTTATCATAAATCCAGTTGTATACGTCTCCGGTGACATCCTGAGATTCTCAGCGGGGCATGAGGGCTCTCCAGGACCCTGTTGCTTTGTTGAAAAGATTTTGTCGATTGCGTTGAAAGTCCAGCTGATCAGATCCATAATAGTTTTCGTTTCGGAAGATGTGTAAAACAGGAGCTCCGATACACAGACAGAGAGCAAAAAGCAGGAGGAGAACAGGAGAGGGAAGAGAATGTGTCCGCCTCGTATGAGAGTGCGTGAGGAAAAAATAAATAAAATAAAATAAAAAATCAATCCCTCAAATGATACCTGAATGGAAAAGCTGTGTCTGAAGAAAAAAAAAAAAGGACAAGAGTACCACATGCAACACATTATACGCCCGTTGACAAACTATTAAACAGCAATCTGTAGCAATGGTCTGGACAAGCAAAGACCTTGTTTTAACTTGTGACCTTGACCTTGGAGCTGGGGCAATGAAAAGTGTACACAGCACTCCGTCTAGTGATGATGCAAAAGCATATGAAGCTTCAGTGAATTATCTTGAGCGCACAACATTTTATTCAATTACAGGAAATGGGAAATTAATGAATTTTGAAAGTCTGAAAAAGGTATACCAGCTTGAAAACTCAGATTTTTTCAGATACTTGAAAGTAGATCATTACTTGGAACATTGCATTAAACCTCAAACAGACATTAATTATCCAATATTAAAAACTATGACTGCTTATAAAAGTGATGCTGTGAAGGGGATTATTTCAAAGTTTTACAAAAGGTTTCTTGACAAAAAAAAATACCCACCCCACTGACTACATTAAAGTAAAATGGGAAAAAGAATCCAACACATTGATGACTAAAGACCAATGGTTAAATATGTTGGTTTCATTGAAAATGTACCAACCTTCAAACTTGGGATGAGTTTAACTGGAAATGTCTTATTCGCTTTTTTATTACATCGAAGCAAAAAGCAAACTTTAATCCTGGGAGTGCTAAATGTTGGAGGCTGCGTGGCTCTCAGGAAGCTGATCATTGGCATGTATTTTAGGAATACCCAATAATAAAATCATTCTGGGCAGAGATTCATAAAACCTTAACTATCACATTCAACCATAATGTACCATTATAGTTTGTGTCTTTAGTTTTGAGGAATTGTAATTTCCTGTCCAGATCTGCAGAGAAGTATTTATTTGCTATTTTTACATCTGCCTGCAAAAAAGCTTTTACGAGACATTTGTTGCTTCCCGAACTTTTCACACTCTCATATTGGATAGATATTGTAAATGAGATGTATATAATGGAAGCAATTATCTTCACCATTCATCTCTAAAAAGCATATTCATTAGTATGTGGGTTAAATGATCAGATATGCAAAGCTCTTACGACCAGACTTTGTAGAGGTGCTGAACTGATCCTGTGGGTTTAGTTCCTCTCCTTTTACAGATCAAACTAATTCATTTACATATTTTGTAACACACAATTTTTTTTTCCTCTCTCCCAATTTGTTTTAAGTTCATAGATACTTTGTTTAAAAAATGCATCAGATAGATATTTGTGTTTGATGATTGCAAATCTGCACCGCTGTCAAAAAAAATAAAGAATATCAAAAAAATGTTCTTGAGCAGGTCAGAAGTTATGGGCAGGACAAGAGGAAGTTTACAAACGGATATTATACTATAATGCCTTTGATGTACTTTTTATACGCCTTCGATGGACATATAAAAAGAATAAATAAAGCTACCATCATCAGTAGCTGGTCTAAGTGAAGCAAAGCTTCACATCAGCTGTGGATATTTCCGTGTTTTGACATTTATAATAAAGGATTCTGACCTGTTCTGGATCAGACTTGCAGGTGAATTTATTCAGCAGCACAGCTTCCTTTCAGTTTAGCAATAAGCACATAAAAACTACCTAAAATTGTCTGTATTTAAAAAAAAAAAAAAAAAAGATTTACAGGAAATCGATCTTGTGTGTACCATTTAAACAAAACCAAATACATCTTTTTGTTTACACTGATGAACAATTTCTCTTCAGTGTTTCTTGTGATAGTCAAATAAATATAACAGTTGCGACATGGTGAGGAAGGTTAGCTGTAAGAAAAAACTAAAAAAAAAAAGAACTAAAGGGGTCCATGATCGCACAACTTACACAATTTCATAAACTACGCTTTAAGACTTTGATATTGAGAAATATCTCCATAAAACTATGAAAACTCTACAACAAGCAGACTGAGCTTGGAGGTCATCAAAAGTGATCCGGTTATAAAAACGACATTCAAATTTAAGGTTTGTTCTTCCACCAACCTCAGGGAAGTCCCGCAGTACTTCAGACATTTCATTCCCACGTTCTCCGCAGCCCACATAAATGATGACATCGCTGTTGGAGTACTTGGACAACGACTGTGAGATCACCGTCTTCCCACAGCCGAAGGCTCCAGGTATAGCAGTGGTGCCACCCTGCACACATCTACACAGCATAAAGGTCACGAAGCTTAAAACATACGGCTCAACACTTAACCATAAACAGCTGAACGACGGGTAAATAAAAAGGTCAGGAAGCCATAATTACATCCCACATTTATAAATAAGAAGCAGGTATAATTATAACGTGAAACGAGGAGCACTCACGGGAAAAGTGCATCGAGAACTCTCTGACCAGTCAGCAGCGGATGATTGGCAGGTAGTTTCTCCGTTACTGGGCGAACTTGTCGTACCGGCCACACCTGCACCATGGTGAACTTCTCCTTAATGCCCTCAAATTCAAGCTCCAGAACCACATCCTGAATGCAAAGATAAAGAAAAGTGTCTCCGTACTTGTTACCAAACAGCGGAAGTGTTTCGCTTCGAGAGGCGCCCTCACAGAAAGGTCGTAGTTTCCAGGCTGAGCCACGTAGGTCACAGTTCCTCTGCTGCGAGGTGGGAGCATCAGCTTGTGCTTGATTAAGGAGTTTTCAAACACAGTGCCGTAGATGTCGCCCCCTGTGATGTGACTGCCAACCTGCATGGGAGAAAATGTGAATCAGGTTGGAACAGATGAGCAGTAAATGTCAAAACGCACATCGCACCGAGACATTTCTTACCCGAAGGTTCTGGAAGGGCGAAAACTCCCACGTTAAGTCTCTGTTAAGAGCACCGATGTTTACTCCTCTTGGAATATAAATGCTGTTAGTGAGGTCGTTAATGTCTTTTAGTGGACGCTGGATACCATCAAAGATGGAGCCCATGATACCCGGCCCTAACTCTACAGAAAGAGGCTTTCCTGTCCGGAGGACGGGGTCGCCGACAGAAACACCAGCTGCAGCATAACGTTGAGGAAACAAAGAGTCCAGTGCGCATCAAGTGCTGTCAGTACAGTGGCTAATAAACACTTAAACTATGAATCAGTTTGTTCAACTTAACAATGACGGACAACATCGTGTCAGCAGAAAGGATACACGTCTCCTCATAGACCTGGATAGTAGCCATGTCACCCTCTAAACGGATGATCTCTCCGACCAACTCGCTGTGACCGACACGAACCAGCTCATACATGGCAGCTCCTGCCATTGCGGTGGCCGTCACCACTGTGAGTTTCAGAGATTTGAATTCAAATAAGGTTAAGGATCCATGTACAGTTCATCAAAGTATATATTTGCTTTGAGTTTTTTCTTTATTATAATTTTAGAATGTATGCATATATGTGTATGTATGTACTGATGGACACATGCATAGAGGTACAGATGTTTGGATGTATGCACGCATGGATGGATGTTATTAACTTTTGTGGGCAATGTTGAAAGTGAACAAACAAGGAGCGTTGTGGTGATGCTGGATTGTTCTGTGATGCGAGACAGAGGAACCCGACCTGGTCCAGAAACTCCATGTACATATCCAAACTGACTTTCATGCTCCTCATCCTGGATCTTGGGAAGTTTTGAGGCGTTCATCTTCGGTTCTGACCTGCAAACCCCTTAAATGAAGAAGAGGAGACACGAATTATTTGAGTCAACATGTATAACAAATAGAAAGTGTTTATGATTTATATTAATAATTAAACAAAAATGACATCACATATTGTCTGTCTGTTTGTTTTTAGCACTACATGATGACAAACTGTTGTTAAGCTGAGCTATATGAAGCAAAATGCTAATTAGCAGTTAAAGTCTGACGTAGACAGGTGAACAGATGGCAGCTTTATGTTTCTTTCTTTAAAGGGAACTCGAGTAAAGCTGATTTGTGCGAGTGTCAGGTGACCGGCTAGCAGGAACTAGCTATATTCAGCACACCCGCATAAACTAACGACTGAACACGTCATAGTTTTTTTAAAGAGTGGCGTGAAAACGGTTTCGCAACAAAAAGTGCATATCTTACCCTTAATTGACGAGTTGTTGTCCGGTTTATCTCTAATGTTTCAGGCTCAGGAGGATCTACCTGCCCGAGCACCGGACCGTCCCGGAAGAAAACAACTCCATTGTGGCTCAGAAGGCTCCATCCGCCGCATCAGCGGTGTGTTGTGCTCGGATCCAAAATGGCGGCGACTGTTCAACAGTTTCACAGTTCCGTCGGACCTCTGCTGGATACACTTTAAAGTACACGTCATTTATTTAGCTATTCAACTGACGTGTTGCTTTAAATAATTACAGTGGTGGAGAAAGTACTCAAACACTACTGTACTTAAGTAAAAGCACAAATAAACAGACAAAATGTACTCTAGTAAAAGTAGACATACCACATTAACATTTTTACTTAAGTAAAAGTAAATAAGTACTTGCTTTTAAAATACTTAAAGTATTAAAAGTAAAAGCACTTACTGAATGTATCACATAATGCAATGGTCTACATATCTTTAAGTGTGCCTATCATATGTATACAGACGTCTGGGGACAGAGGAGACCAGTTTCTCAAGTTTAGAAATAGGAATGCTCTCCCATTCATGTCTAATACAGTAACAGGCCTCTAGCGGTTCAATCATCTTGGGCCTTCTTTGTCGCAGCTTCCTCTTTATGATGCACCAAATGTTCTCTATAGGTGAAAGATCTGGACTGCAGGCTGGCCATTTCAGTACCTGGATCCTTCTCCTACGTAGCCATGATGTTGTGATTGCTGCAGAATGTGGTCTGGCATTATCGTGTTGAAAAATGCAGGGTCCTCCCTGAAAGAGATGATGTCTAGATGGGAGCATATGTTGTTCTAGAACATGAACATAGTTCTCTGCATTAATGGTGCCTTTCCAGACATGCAAGCTGCCCATGCCACAAGCACTCATGCAACCCCATACCATCAGTGATGCAGGCTTCTGAACGGAGCATTGATAACAACTTGGGCTATCCTTGTCCTCTCTGGTCCGGATGGCATGGCGTCCCAGTGTTCCATAAAGAACTTCAAATCGTGACTCATCTGACCACAGAACAGTCTTCCATTTTGCCACACTCTATTTTAAATGACCCCTGGCCCAGTGCAAACGTCTGAGCTTGTGGAGCTTGCTTAGAAATGGCTTCCTCTTTGCACTGTAGAGTTTCAGCTGGCAACGGCGGATGGCATGGTGGATTGTGTTCACTGACAATGCTTTCTGGAAGTATTCCTGAGCCCATTCTGTTATTTCCTTGACAGTGGCATTCCTGTTTGAGGTGCAGTGACATTTAAGGGCCCGGAGCTCACGAGCATCCAGTAGAGTTTTACGACCTAGACCCTTACGCACAGCGATTGTTCCAGATTCTCTGAATCTTTTGATGATGTTATGCACGGTTGATGATGGTAACTTAAAAGTCTTTGCTATTTTACGCTGGGTAACACCATTCTGGTATTGCTGCACTATCTTTCTGCGCAACAATGGTGGAATTGGTGATCCTCTTACCATCTTGGCTTCTGAGAGACACTGACACTCTGAGAAGCTCTTTTTATACCCTATCATGTTGTCAATTGACCTAATTAGTGTTAATTGGTCTTCCAGCTGTTTGTTATATGCTCAATTTCCCTTTTCCAGCCACTTATTGCTACTTGTCCCAACTTTTTTGGGATTTGTTGACACTGGGAAATTTTGAATCAACATATTTTTCCCTTAAAATGTTAAATTTACTCAGATTAAACTTTTGATCTGTCATCTATGTTATATTACGAATAAAATATTGACATTTGCCATCTCCACATCATTGCATTCAGTTTTTATTCACAATTTGTTTAGTGTCCCAACTTTTTTGGAATCCGGTTTGTATGTCATTGGCCCAGCTCTTCTTGAAGATGGCCTAACGTTACCTGCCCACTTTGCAGTGATTCACAGGACAAGCTCCTCTCTCACCATTGGTTACTTTCAAAGTAACAAACAAATCAAAAAGCCGCAACATGAATGTAACTTGTAACGACGCATTATAGAAATGTAGTGTAGTAGAAAGTACAGATACTTGATGTAAAATGTAGTGGAGTAAAAGTATAAAGTACCCACATTTAACTCTACTTAAGTAAAGTACAGATACATGAAAAATGTACTTAAGTACAGTAACAAAGTATTTGTACTTAGTTACATCCCACCACTTTAAATAAACTATTGTTTTATTATGCCGTCCTTTTAAATTTATGTACTTCTGGGTTTTATGATGTAGGTGTTTCCTTTAAATCATAGCTAGAACCTAATTGAGATGTTGTTAATCTGGTAAATGCTGTTTTTGTGCTTTTACGCCGTCCTATTATTTGTGTCTAAGCAGGTTTTCCTATTTTTCATTACCAGTGGCCTAAGAAGCTCTGCTCTGTAGAAGTGGTATTGTATTAGAAGGTACTTTTTCTAGCTTTTTAACTGTCAATAATGGTGTACCACAAGGCTCAGTCTTGGGACCCACACTTTTTTACAATTTATATAAGTATTGTAGGTCAGAACATCCTGACGCCTCCTTGCATCTCTATGCTGATGATATAGTTGTTTATTTTCAAGCACTTACACTGGTACATCATCATCTATAAATCATTCCTTGGTCTGCTGTCTTATAGCTCCTCCTACATGTCACACCATCAGTGCAGTTACAGCGTGAATTCTCAGGCCATCATTACCTGCAACATTCCCTCCATGTGGACTGAACTCGGCAAAAAGGCCTTTTCTTACTCTGCTCCTGTAACCTGGAACACCTTGCAAAAAGATCTGAAGCTGTCCACTTTGACGTCTTTATGGGATTTTAAACAATTTATAAATTCAATAGAAAAATTGAAGCAAACATGTTCCTGTTTGTAGTTTTTTTTTTTTAGCATTTTACCTTGTTTTATATGGCACCTTGATTTGATTTTGCATTTTTATTGTTTTACTTTATTTGCATTCTTTTGTTTATTGTTGTGTGTACGAAAATGTGTCCTCATGACTCAATGAGACTAACCTGTATAAATAAAGTTTAAATGAAAAAGAGGAAGAAGATGTATTGGAAGCTCTGTAACATCAAGAAGAATAACTGACATCATTTAACAGGTTGAACTTAAACTTCTGCGCTTATGTGAATAAAATAAAAGCTTTTACAGGTGCATTTAATAAACCTTGATTTATTTAATAATTTAAGTCAAATAAAGCTGAAATTGAATTAGTTACCCAGAAGGGAAAAAAAGACAAGGAAAAGAAAGATGTAAAATCATGAGACGATTATAAGGTTTTTCCTTCCAAATGATCATATTTATAGAAACATTTTCCATGAAATATTTAATTTTATTTACGCATATTAACCTACAACGCACAATATGAGACAATGAAATAGTCACAGATTGAGGTAGCAATTATAAAATGCCCAAACAGTAAAATACATGGAATTGAATATAGGAGAAAATGACAAAACAAAGACTTAATTCTCCAAAAAGCTGCTCTCAATGAACTTTCATCACATTACATTTATTGATGCTGCGAACATACCAGGTGTTACTAATGACTTTAATAATGAATCAGGTCTGTTCTGAGGTTCCAGTTGCCATGACAGAGTTACAGAGACTGTAATGCAACACAAAGAGCCCGGTATAGGAGAAGATGATGAACTCCAGCCACTCACTGAATGTGTTAATTAAAACCAGTTTTTTATTTTTACGTTGGTGTGTTAGAATGTCTTGCCTGGATCTAGGACAAAAAGTGCCATGCTGTGTGCCTTTTGGAACGGTTTGTTTAGAATGAAAATCTAATAATATATAATTTAATAGTGATAAAAAAAAACAAATGCTTCCAAAAAAATTATTTCTTTGCATTGCAGGTAATCTACGTGTATTCTCTTCTTCATTATAACAACAAAACAAACTGTATTTGTATCATTTCCACTAGAAATATACACTAAATGTCTGAGGAAATATAGTAATAACGAGGGGTACGCTGATGTCCCTCGTCTCCGAGGGATTTGAATAGTAAATGTTTGTATTTTTGGAGATGAGTGTTTTTCTGGACTGGAATTGAATAGGGAATGTTCTTAAACCTTAATGTTTTTGGTGCAAGATATTGAAGTGGTGAGGAGTTACACTGTGGAGAAGGACAGAGGTAGTTAAAAAAATATATTGTCCAAGTTAGTGGCATTGTCACCAGAGTGACAAATCGTGGTGAGTGGAGGGAGCAGGTTAATCCACCACCAGGTGCAACGGCGGAGCAAGGTGGTGGTCAATGGTGGCCTTTGCCCCCATAGATTAATCTTCGGCCACCCCAAGGGCCACTTCAATCATTTGAGGAAACTACTTTGAAGCGAAACAAAAACTAGAAGGTATATCTCAGCCATCTTGGTTTTGGACATGGCAACCCGTTTTTAAGGGTTTTTAGATGTAGTCACTCATCCAAATGGAAACTCATTGATTATCAAGTTATCATGCTCACAACATGCACGGACGGGCTGAGGATATTTCTAAATCAGACTAAAAGGTTTGGTGCTGGGACAACAAGTGCCATTTTATACCAAGAGGCCTTTTTTGGAACAAGTCGTTTAAAATGATAACTTAATAAATGACATTTAGTTAGTGAATAAAAAAAACATATGATTTTACATAATGTTACTATTCTCTCTGTGGCAGTCTACTTGAATTATCTTCTTAATCCCAATAGTGAAACTGTATTTGTATCATTTCCACATGAAATACATACACGAAATGTAATTATTAAAAACAGACACATGATGGAGCCAAACAGACTGATTCACAGTTCAGTTTCTCTTGTTTTAAAGGTTGATTTAAGTAAAACTTTGGTTCAGTCTGACCACTCATTGTCCTCCAGCTCAGAGTCATCCTCAGTGTCACTGTATTCCACAGCGATGCGGCGAGAAAGGATGGTGGCCACGTCATTCCCAATGGGCTCCCGCTTGTTCTGCTGTTCCTGCTGCTCCTGGACCTTCTTCAGCTGGATGCCTAAAAAGAATGTAAGTAATTCAAATTAGTTTAAGCACTGTTACATAGTTGTGTTTTTTTAATAACTACAGGCAAATGACTGAAGGAAAAATAAAGCTAAACTCACCCATACGAATGGCAGATAACAGGTCACTTCTAGCATCTCTCACAGGTTTAGTTTCTGCCCTTCTGCCTTCGGGGTGTCCCGGCAGGTGTAAGGGTGCAGGTGGAGGAGGGAGAGGTGGAGGAGGAGGACCTGGAGAAAGAGGGACTACCCGAGGCCCCTGCGGAGGGACTGGTGGAAGTGGGTAGCCTGAACCAGCATGCAAAACTCCATTATGTGGCACTGGAAGTTGTGAACCACGAGGAAAGCCAAATGCTGTCTGAGCTGATGGAATGGGTGGACCTGGGGGAGGAGGGGGCGGAACTGAGCTGTTTGACAGTAAAAAATAATAAGAAAAAATCAGTTATGATGCGAACCCAGAATAAGAAATAAAATGTTTATGGCTCTTTGATTGTGGGAATGACAAACACTCATACTTGCGGTCTGAAGACAAACGTGCTGAACCACTGATGCTGTCGACAACATGAGGCTCAGATGTGGAGTAGGTCACTCTCTTGTAGTTGACATCAATGCTGTGGTATTCATGCTCCACAGGCGGGGAGGGGTGTGCGTTTCCACTGATGTAATCATGAGACTTGGAGTAGCTACAAACAAGCTGAGTAGGTACTGGAGGGACTGGGTAGTCCAGAAGATCCGGCCTAAAAAAAAAAAAAGCGACAGACTTATTATTGAGATACATCAACATACACGGTGGGGTGGACATACTGTATTTAGAGTGAGTGAGTGATATATAAACCAGTATATATATATATATATATATATATATATATGAAAGTAAACATATGAAACATTCTGACCTGCCATCTGGAGAGAGTGACCCCTCTGATGATGCTCCTCTCCTCAGAGTTTGTGGATGGTGGTGATCCGGACGTAGCTCTTTATCGAAAGCCATCATGTTCCACTCGTGTCTGCGGTTTCGAGCCTTTCTCACTTTCTTCACCTCGCGCTGCAGCGTGCTGCTTTCCATAGAACGTTTCTGTTCCTGGGGAGAGATGATGGAGCGATGGAGAATATTAAATACAAGTACTCAGCCTGTGAAATTATAGTGAAGCAGACTGGGAGCTCACCCAGAGCTGTACATACAAAGTATATATATATATATATATATATATATATGTATGGCGCTGAGCTCACCCTTTGCCTCCGCCTTTCTTTCCTCTTGTCCTCAGTGTCCTGAAGCATCTTTTCTTTCCACAGATCAAAAAAGTACGACGGGTCTGAATAGAACTTCATTGCATCTGTTGAATCCTCTCTGAATATTAAAAGAAAATAGTTTCTTTTTCTATAATGAGATACAAATGTAAAAAAAACTTGCAGGTAGGCTTGGGACAGATGCAGCACCTGTAAGCAGTGAGGGTGCTGAGAGGGGGAGGCCCGTCACAGCTGTTGTACATTTCAGCCACAGAGTCAGGAGTGCTGCCTTTGGACAAAACCTGCTGGTCCTGGACAGTGGACCTTCTGAAGGCCTTCCTCATGTTTATGTCCTGCAGAGACACTGTCAAAGAGAAAGACGAGGGACAAATTTAACTTTAAGTATGCGAGAATAAACATCAGTGTGGAAAGTGAAGAAGGGTTTCCAGGGAACTGACCCTCCTCTACGCTGGAGTCCAGCTGCGTGACTTTGTCTGCTAAGTGGTCAATACGATCCTGGAGAGAGTTTGCACGGGTGTAAAACGTGTTGGCCTCATTAAAAAGCTCCCCAAACACGTTTTCTGCATGTTTGCCTGCAACCGGAATAATAATAATAAGAAGAAAATAGAAAAATAAAGCCAAGTACAGTTAAATCTTTCAATAAAGTGATGGTATTTTTTTATTGTAAACATTTTTTATTTCTGATATACAAACTGCTTTGCACACTGGATTATGACTCTGGATTATCCATGAGCATTACATTTTCTTGCTGCTCAGCACGATGTCACAGCAGCTCAGATCCACTTTACGTGAAAGCTCTCATCAGACTGCAAGCGTTCGGGTCTGCACCCACCTGATTCGTCTTAGATACACAACGTGTTACAGGAAGCTCTAAGCCTCCGTCACATCACAAAACACAATCACATGCACAGACCAGAGAAACTACAGAAGCATGATTAACTTTGCAGCATAAATTTAAACGTTTTTCTTCCGACAACAGACCAAATGAAACATTTGATTTGAAAACACCATCAGATAGATATTAAATGGACTGTACTTGCGCCTTTCTTTCTTATCAAGATACTCAAAACGCTTTACACCACAATCTGTTCCCTCATTTACTCATTCATACAGCACTCTACTAGATCTCTATGAAGCTAATTGAACAAATTATTCTAAAGAGACTAATCTAAATAACATTTAAGATACTTCTGGATAATGTTGGACCATTACATTTAAAAAGTTTTCAGATTATGCTGCTTTACTATGAATATGGAGCCGTGGTTAGTGATTGCTGAAGGATAATCCAGAGCTGTAATCCAATACACAACTTCAGAAATCAAAAAGCCTCTGAAGTGGACATATCTTGAAGTCTGGATGTTTTTATGGTCAACAATGATACAAGCATGCAGCAGTTTCTGATGCTCAAAGAACAAACACAGTTGCTATTAAAAATACAATGATCAGTAACTATCAAAGCATCAGGTTGTTTACACACATCCTAAAAATAATTGATAATGTGATGACAGTGAACTTGTTGACTTGATGACTTGAACTTGTATTGTGCACTCCTGATATTAGAATATAAAACACCAACCAAGCTAAAAAAAATTAATAACAAGTTCTGAACTGTTAATCTATGAGATATGATGAGATACAGAAAAATGAAAACGTATAGGAAAGCTCTGATATAAAATTCCTCATTATAATATTTCAGAGCTAAAGTGTCCAGTAGATCTGAAAATGTTAAAAACCTGATAAAGAGATGTGTTTTACAAGTCATCCCTATAATAAATCATGTTTCATCCAATGCAGTAGCTTCATTTTTCTTCACTAGGATACAATAGAAATGAGACTTTAAACATCCATTTGGGGGGTGGTTTGAAACTGTTTACTCCATAAACCTGAACTTATTTCCATTCATTATCTTCTTTAAATTTTCATATGTTCTTTTGTAGCATCTTGTCTTCCAGCTTGCACAACTTTAATATGTTTTTGATGATTACTTTGACGATTAACTTGCTAATCTTTGGACAGACAACTGAATATTAAAGACCAGTGGTGAACCATCACAGTAAGTGCTAGACCTCCAGTTAGGATATATTGTCAGATTCTAGTGAATGCAAATGTCCAAGACACAGAGTCACTGTGCAAATAATTCATTATACTTGTAGTTTTGCAATTCAGTAACTTGCTGACAACAAGGGCTTCTCCTATTTTTATCCATCAAGTACAAAATTTGACTTGTAGGGTCATTTTTAAGTTTTACTAAGAACAGCCCGAACACAAACACCAACCAAACACTAAACAGAACAACCAACAGGACAACCCATCTGAACACAGAACCTGAAAAAGTCCATCTGTTTCAAGATTACCCAGCAGCCTCTTGTGTTTAAGTACAACATGTAATTTCAATAACTCAGACTGAAATTTAACAGTAACTCACAGAACTTTCTTGTTATGAAACCAAATTACAACTATAATATAAAAAAAAAAAAAAAAATGTAAACCTAAATTTGATATTTAACCAGAACAATTTCTGTTTTGAAGCTTTAAGTTTGCAGCTGAATTGATCACAAATGGTCCGAAAGAATAAAATAGAACAAACTCTTTGCAAGGCCTTCCCTAAGGCTCAGATCCCTGTTTTGGTCCCACACACTTTGCATCAACAGTGTGATGTCAGTCAGCTGATGTGTGGGCAGAGCACAGAGACATAAGTAAAAATACTTTATTAAGCAAGAAAAACAAAAAATGCTGACAAGGCAGCCAACAATTCTACTAACTAAATGAGAACAAGGAACATGGAGGAGAAAACCAAGGACCAGTGTGACGACATGAAAAAACTAATGCTGAACTGGAAAACAAACTGAGGAGCAAGCATATAAACAGACGCTAATTAAACCTAAACATCTGGAGTGATTACAGATTGGGAACAGGTGAGAGTGGCAGACTAACTGGAGAAACAAATGAGGAGAGGCACAAGAAACACTGGGAATCAGAACAAGACCTAAACCAGAATACTGACTTAAAACTAACAACGGAGTACAAAACACAAATGGACAACGATCTAAACTGACAATAAAAACCACAAATAACTCAAGTGACAATAAAACATAAATCACAAAGTGAAAATAAGACTTAAAGATAAACTCAAGGAACTAAATAAATGCCTGAAAAACACAGATTACAGCATGGGATTAGTTAATTTTCCTGTGAGACATTAAACAAACACATCCTGCAGCCTCAAAGTGAGCTCAGCCTTCTCTCCTGACAGTGAAGTCCTGACCAATGGGAAGCAAGCTTCAAACATGTTTCTGCCTGGAGACACATTTAAAACAATCTGATTGGATAAATGTATTTTTGTTCCTCTGCAAATTAATTTGCAGAGAAATTAGCAAAAATTAAGAAAAACTGCATGGAAAATGTGTACAGTATTTTATATAAAATAATTATTGAATTAATGTTTTAGAAGTAACATTTCATTTGAGCTGAATTCTTATATGGTGCCACTGAAGGCGAGCGTTTCCCACTGGTAAAGACACATCTACTGCGTTATATATTTAATTTTTGTTATGGATTTACAGTAAAGCAACTATATATTGTATTTTTCTATGTATTTTAATGTAACAGAAACCTTATACTTCTATATATTTGTGAACAGGTGTTTGCCAGGTGATTTTATTGTTTTAAAAATAGAAACTCTATAAGTAGTGTGTTAGTTTAAAGACAGCCTGGCCTGGTGTGACTCCAACTTTTATGAAATTCAATGCAGAATAAAACGGAATCATTGGGAAACTTCTTTAGGTTATAAGCCGCACAACTTTTCCTGCGTTTGGATCCAGTTGTGTTGGATCAAAAGTGGCAGCAGAGAGTCTGTGTTAGAAGTCGTGCAGCTCCTCCTGAGTTCATGTTACAAAGAATCATCGTTTGATGAACACTGATCTTACTCAGACTGCTGAGCTGACGGATGATGGCCGACAGCGTGTTGTTGGTCACACACTCCAGCTCGCTGCCGATCCCGTCCGGCACGGCACCGTGGCACAGGTGGTGAGGCTCGATATTTCTCTTGACCAGAGGCATAACTCCTGCTTACATCTCGACGACAGCACCTGCGGCAGAGGTCAGAGGTCACACAGGTCTGCTCGTCGGCTCATCAGATCCTGCAGGCTGCAGAGTAGAGGAAATGAATGCACAAAGATGCTATTGCAAATGTTTCTGAATGAGAATTATTTCAAACTAGCAGATTAAAATGGATGAAAGCTTTAAACAGCTTTGCATCCAATTATGTCCATAATTGTTAAAACATTTGTTTTCTGTTTGGTTTGATTCGTTAATTAAAAAAAAAGGACAAATCATGTAACAGACAAGCACAACTAAAATGAAACCGTCAGGGGTTTTGTTGTAGTTGCCACGTTGTACATTTGACACCTTTTGTTGGTTTTATTAATTTCTCACCACCCATCAAAGTGCTGCACACATGGAGCCTCCGTGTAAAAACTGAATGTGCTCAGCAGCCGTTTCAGCCAACGAGCTGAAATATGAAGAGGGAACAGAACAGCTGTGGATGTGTTTTTTCTTTCTTTTTTACAATTTTGTAACTCCATTCGCACTTCTTGGTTAAATGGACTTGACAATAGTAACTCTCAGTGATTGCACGCTGAGGTGAACTAGTTCACCAATAACAATAAAACCAAAATTACAGACATCACTTGTGTTTTTAAAAAATATTTTAGCATTATGGCAGTAAGAGAACAAAAATGCAATTGGAAGCTTGGAGTTTTTCTGATGGTGAGAGCATTAATTTAAGTCTCTGACATAAAAAACAAACAAACATATTTTAGCGTTAAAGTCAATACAAACCCAGATGTGTTGATGTTGCAGTGGAAGGAAGTTTATAAAAAGTTTGGTCTCCATTTGTGTCCATCAGCAATCACAGGTTTTATTGGTTTTACACACGTTTTTAGTTGCATAATAAAAAATAAATAAAAACGAAACTATGTTTGTGTCGTTAGAAGCAAATGACTCGTGTGTATAATACGTGTTAAATAAATCAAAATGCCCTATTTTAGTTATCAAAGTTTCTTAGCTTAAACTAAATTTTATTTATTTTATATTTTACTGACAAGTTTTATGAGCTCTGTCACATACGTACAGGAAATGTAAGTAAACTTGGCCATTCAACCACAATTTGTAATTGTACTAAAGATGTAAAATAGATGTTAAGAAAAGAGGGAAGAGTTGTTTATGATGTCTTTATTTTCTGTCAAAAAAATTATAATTTGCAAATCAAAACTCTAAGAGCTAGGCCATCATTTTGGATGTAATATTGTTACATCTTAATAAATCTTAATGTCGAGATGATGGAGTCACAGTCAAATATTACAAAAATGTATTTTCAGTTTCACAGTTTAGTTACTCACTGACAGGAAGATTAGCCTGAAGGACGTGTGGTTCATACAGTATTTAGCATTCAAGTACAACATGTAATTTCAATAACTTAGAGGGAAATTTAAACGTAACCCACAGAACTTACTGTTTACGTAAAAAATGCCATCATGTAATGAAATTAAATAGAAAATAATCAATATAAACCTAAATGTGACATTTAACCTTCTTTTTTTTTATTTTTAGATCAACTACAATTTCAGTGTGATTTCTTTAATTTATGTTTTTCAATCAAATATATCATAAATCTTTATGTGGTCAGTTAAAAAAAAGCGTTTTGCAAGGCATTCCTGAAGGCTCCATGTTTTGGTCCCGCCCACTTTACATCAGTATTCTGATTGGTTAATAGTCCTGCTGGTTATTAAGCTCTGACGGAGCTCAGCCTTCTCCCCTGACATTGAAGTCCTGACCAATGAGAAACAACCTTCAAACATGTTTCTGCCTCAAGACAAAAACTTAAAAGAATCTGATTGAATAAATGGATTTTCATGAATTGAAAAAAAAATTGTTTTGTTTTTTGCTTAAGAGCAAAGTATCATTAAAGGGACTTTGTATTGACTTCCATTCATTTTTCATTCATTTTTATAGCCTATCACTGACCCTAACTCTAACCATTACCAGTGCATACCTAACCCTAAACCAAACCCATCCACAATTCACACCTAGTCCTAAATCTAACTCCTAACCCACCAACAACACTTATTCTTATGAGCTCGTGCTTTGGGCCACATAAGGAGCAGTTGGTCCTCACAATGTAGTATAAATTGAAAAAATGGGCCTCACAAGGTAACAAATACAAAGACACCCCCCCACCCACACACACACTATATTGAACATATTTATTTAATTTAAAATAACATAGTAATTAAAATGTTAAATGTAACATTTCATATGTGCTGAATTTTTAGGCCTTCTCTGAAAGCACAGAAGGCCTTGAGGGTTCTCCACTAAATTGGGTGCATGTAAGATACCACGTCATGTTCATCATCTTAACATTAGGGGTGGCAAATAAAAGATGTATGTTTTTTTAAAGTAGTTGAAGGGCAACAATGTTCTGTATTAGAACTTAATATTCTCACTGCAATGCAAATGCTGCGACTTTTTAATTTTTTTTAAATTCTGGTGACCTTTCCTAATCTGAGCAGAAAAGTTTGAATGGATTTGTTCAAGTTCCACGTTCAGATCTTTTTGTTCCTTTTGCAAAATCAAAAGTTGAGTCTTCTCAAGGTTGCAAACTTAACCTATGATTGATGATTGTTTATCAATTAGGTACATTTGAAATGTAAGGGCTGAACATTTGAGCTCAGTTGTGAATGTAAAGTTCTTGACAGGATAAAAAAACAAAAGACATCTCATCTCTTAAAACAAGTGGATAAAAGTTGGTTATCAACGATTATTACCTTTTAAAAGCATTTTTTTCTTGTATATGATATGAGTATTTTCTTTACATAGAACTTTTTTCGGCTTGTGTTTACAAGATGAGCTGAATTATACTTAAACCGCACTAGTCTGCGTTTGGCTAAAACAACAAATTTAGGGTAATTACAGAAGACTTTAATGTTCAAATACGTAGCTAAATGTTGCTAATAATTTTATTCAGAAAAAGGATTACATAACAGAAAAGCCTACCAGTGGCTCCAGTAGACTGCTCCTATTCGTCCTGGTTTTCAGTGGGTCAGCTCGTAATTTGTTCCGTCCTGGAAAAGCCAACGGTCAGAGTTGAATCTGAACTATTTCACTCGAGTGAGAGACACTAACTGAAGGCCTGCTGCAGTCCACTGCGCGCTGAATAACGACGGTCATCTCTGCAGAGCGCCGTGTACTCTGAAAACAAATCCTTAGTCCAAATCACAGCCTGAGCCATGAGGGGATTTAGCCAGCAGATTTACTCCTGCCATCCAATCACAGACGAAAAGGTTCGGCTGTTTCACATCCAGTTTTATTTCAGGAGCTATAAGCAGCAGTCATACTGAGCAGAAATGTTAGCTTCCATTTAATAATTAGATTGAATATACATACAGTATTTAAGAGGAAACATTGAATTAAGAACCTAAAGAAAATCATTTTTGTCCCACTTGTCCGAGCTGATACCTTTACAACTAATGCATTGATCCAGGGCAAAAACAAACAACAAAACTACAGCCTCATCTGCCTGAAAAACTTTTGTTAAAAACGTACATCCTTCCATTATCTTTATTCATTCAAGCTTTATTTATACAGGTTAGTCTTATTGAGCCACGAGGACTCATTTACAAGACAGATCTGATTTTAAACTAAAAAAACACCAATGAGGAAGACGCAATAAACCTTCATATAAAAACACATAAAATGTAAAGTCAATAAAATAAACGATATAAAAGAAAATTAAAACACGTTACATTATAAAACGGTGTAAAATACTAAAAATAGGAACATGCATTGATTTTTGCATTATCAGTTGTTTAAAGTCTCATTTTAGAGAGGTCGAGAGCTTCAGATCTTTTTACAAGATATTCCAGGAAACAGGAGCGGAGGAGAAGACCCATTTGCCTAGTTCAGTCTGCCCTGAGGGGACACTGCAGGTAATGATGTCTTGAGCAGGGCCGTCTCAAGCCTCCATGGGGCTCTAAGTGCAATTTGGTTTGGGGCCCCTCTATTTCTGCTAATAATGTGGATTACTGCAATTAACAGTCAGATGATCAGATCATTCACCACCTAACATAAACTATTATTCAATATAGTATTGATAAAACAACCTATTAACAAACTGGTAAAATATACATTTCTCTGCATTTGATGACTACTTCTAAAAATTTAATATTTCATGTTTGAGTAATTTGGCACTATAAACATAAAAACTGATTTGATTTGACTGATAAAGTAATATTGAAGCACACAAATGTTATCTTGAAGTTCTGTCCCTGTGGCCCTCTAGGGTGCAGAGAGCCTCAGAAATGGTTATGGTGGGCCGGATTTGGCCCACGGGCCTTCACTTTGACACATGCGATCTAAAGAACTAAAGAAAAACAAAACAACAGCCAAAGTATGTCTGCAGTTTAGCTAACAGACTTTGGAATGGGTACATTTTGTCCTTGTCAAACCTGCTGAAGAGACTCAAACTAAATACTCTGAAACTCAAAGAACTTAGTCCATGAAGTTACAAATAACACTCAACTTTGCAACATTTATCCCTAAATGGGGTGAAAGAAAAATGAGATATTCCTCCTAAAACAAAATCAGCTAATGCCACTTTTTCAGAATGGTCAACAGAAAATATGTTACTAAATAATACAGTTAGCGCTATTTCAATAGGAATTATTGTCAGTAACTTTCAGACATATGGGTGGAGAAGGTCCAGCCCCTTGGCTGGAAAAACACCTTGTCCTGAGGCCTGGTCTTGAGAGCGCACGCTGTAGCTGCACAAACGACGTGACATGTAGGAGGAGATGTAAGAAGGCAGCAGACCAAGGAGTGATTTAAAAATGAAAATGGAAAAAAAAAAAAAAAACAACTTTAGATTTTACCTGCTTCTTCCTTCTCAGTTTGCGAGGGTCACTGGTGCCCACATCCATCAGTCACTGAGCGAGAAGCGGGGGACACCCTGGACAGGTCACAGGTCCGTCACAGGATCACATAGAGACAAACGGGACAAACGAGACAAACAACCATTCACTCTCTCACTCACACCTAGGAACCAATCAGCACATGCATGTTTTTGGTCTGTGGGAGGAAACTGGAGTACCCGGAGAAAACCCACATATGTACAGAGAGAACATGCAAACAACATGCAAACAACATGCAAACTCACCCAGATAGGCACCGAGCCGGGATTCGATCTGATGACCTTCTGAGAGACAACAGATCTACCAACTGAGCCTCCAGTATACATATACTGTACACATATATATATATATATATATATATATATATATATAT